CCATTACACCCACATGTGTATTTTCTTGATGATTAACAATCATACACAGACTGAAGATTTACCTACATTGCCTAAAAATGGATGGTACCAGCACAACCTACACTATGCTTTTATATAAAGATAATACGAATAATAATTCGATCTCAATAGTAAGATTACTTGAGTTTATTCAGATTTATGTCACTTTTAACGATAATATTTTATCGCTAATTTTATAGACTGTACTGAAAGTTATGTCTCTAATCTTATTTTCAATAAAATCTTCCGCTTGTTAAATACTTAAGAATGAATAAATAGATTTATACTGGGGAAATAAAATTCAATACGTTTGTTTTGGTGAGGCGAAAAAACAAAAAGAAATATTTCGATTTCTAGAGATTAGCTGCTGCTGAAGGCCTTTATTCAGTTCGTAAATAAAGTGACCGAACAATAAAGGGACTGGACAGTTCCTTCACTACAATAGCTTCTGCTCTATGAGCTATAAGCGGGGATTAGTAAGGACACTCATTGTACGACAGGGCCAGGAAGTTATGTTCGCCTAACAAGGTAGAAGAAGAATTAAGCTTTGTTGAAAAATGCCTTAAGGAAAACGGGTATCTAAAAGGACTTATCCTAAAGTACAGCAAAGAAAGAGATGACAAAGAGAAGTATCCAACAGTTGAAAAGGTGTTCATTTGCCTCCCATACAAAGGAGAAACAGTATCGCAAAAGATTGAAAATGGATGAAAGGAGCAATCTAGTGACATTATACAGCACTACATGCTCTATTAGTCAATGGAAACTGGATAAGTACCCTGCTGATGTTACCTCCAACTGCATTTATAAATTTACGTGCACCTGCGGCAGCAAGTACATTGGAACGACAGAAAGAAGGGCTTCTGTCCAGTTTGCAGAGCATATTCCGAGAAACTTATGCTAAAAAGGAAGCAGATATTTACAAAGTGTAATTACCAGACACCTTGTGGATACGGGTCATTTTGTCGAGATTTCTAAATCCTTCAAAATATTAAACATACAAAGACAGCAAATCTACTACGATTTGCTGAAGCAATTGCAATCAAACGTTTCAGACCAAACTTTCGCACACAGAAAGAGAGTGTCGTCAATCTCTCACTCCCTTGGTAACCATATCACTTTCATTACACTAGTGAGCTCAACTCACTAAGCAACTTTCCAAATTGATGAACTTTGACCTTCTTGAGTTGCCATGTTGACATTGTTTATTAGATTTTTTGTTTTCTGTCTTCTCTCACCCCCTTTTTCTTTTTTCATAGTTCGTGGTGTATAAATTGATGGTAATTTAAACTGCAAATTTGTAATACTTATATTCCAGATGCGTTCACCCTATAATGTTTTCTCTGTTACCTTTCAAACAATGAAGTATGGAATGTTATTATTTATAACCATTGTAATTTCAGGTAGTTTGTAGCTGATGAGAACCTGTGAAATAGAATGATATCATTTTATACTGCAAATCTTGTCTTTCCTTCTCTGGCGACAGTGATATTCTAAATGGAACAGCTTATGTATAAGCGACTAAAACTGTTATTACTCAACCCTATATTTAGTAGAGATTTCCATTTAACACTTCAGTCTCGTATTCTCACAGTATATCAGTAAGTCTACCTGGACTGATAGCGTGAAAACGGGCTAGTTGTAGAACCAAACACTATAAAGTGTTATAAATGACATCATTATAATCAGTCAAATAGTTTAGAAAGTGGCTTCATTGTAAGCATCAACTACACAGCTATAGTGCAAATTACAGCCAAAGAATATGAGCTTTTTATCTTGCGAGAACCATTTCCTAATGTAAAAAGTAAGTCAATGATAAATGTTGCACGACCGGTTACCGGTAAATCAAATATTAACATCTAACTGCTGACCTATCTACAGTCTACAAGAGGTATGCAGCTTATTTTGTATTTGTAGCATTAATGCAACGGTTCCAGAATCACTTGACAGCGTCATATATCATTATGCTTAAGTATGATGTGATTTCAGTTAGTTCACAAGCTGAATATTCAAAAATTATTTGATGTTTAAGCATACTTAGATAAAAATAAACTCTGGTTGTCAAAATAAACTCCTAGATTTTCCAATCGTACTTTAATCGATGTCAGTTCATGATGAAATCCTGAAACTAATCAAATCCCTGCAAACCAACACTTGAATATCAAAATAAATTAATCTGATGTGTATCTAATAGCATTCAGTGACTACAGATGACCTCTGACCTAGTGAGATTAAATCATTTATAATCTATGTTGTTTCTTCTAATGTGACATTTTCTAAAGAGTAAACAAATGACACGGTGAAAACAATTAAAAATAATCTCTTAGTAATAGATTTATCAGCCTATTGATTGCCAAAAAAAAGATATAGTTGCACTGTACAAATAACTGTTTCACTGCGTTCAAAACTGGTTGAATAAATAACTCTTTTTATTGTTCACTGAAAGAACTTTGTTCCACAGGTTTCTGTCTACGTCGAATGCTGCATAGTAAAATATTTTGAACCAGTTTTTTTTAAGGTATAAGGATGTATTCTTTGAAGAAATTTAATGACTCATTTCCGTCTGGGAAATCTCCATTTCTATTGTTCTTTTTCTCTCACATAACTAGCAGTTATGGAGATTCAATTCATGTTTCACTGATTTTCACTTTCAGTTGAATCCAATGCTACAGAATTTAATGTTAAATCATTCTTAGAAAATGTGATTTGTATAGTGTAGCGAATTGCTACCCAAATGAGATCTCTGATTTGAGTGATTTTAAGAAGGTAAGTTCATCTGTAGCTACTTGCATTGGTTTTTTTTGATTATGACGTTTTAATGAGTCAATCGCATACAATCGCAGGATAGAAAAATAAATGATTTGTCAAGTGCTTTGTGTTTTTAAATCGGTCACTAAGGCACGCCATTTTCAAATTAATGAATGTTTTCTAAAGTGCATAAAATAACTGATTTATTTTCTAAAAGGTCCATCAAAGGTTGGAAATATACTCAATGGATTTCATGTAGGCAAAGCATGTGATTCTCCTTGTCACTTCCGTTATGTTGTTTCCAAACTATTTCATACGTAAATGAACAGCAGTCAAAGCCTTTCTATTCAAAACCGACCGTTTAAAAAAAAATTATTTTCAAAAGTTGATTTGTAGGGATTTGATTTGTTTTCAAGTCTGACCCAGGATTGATATCAGTTGGAGAACCACTGAAAACTAGGGAGTACTGGACAGCTGTTTCATCCTAGTCTTAGAGCCATCATCAGTACACACCCACTGGGGCTCGAATCCAGGACCTTCCGATTAAAAGGCGAGCTCGTAAACCATTCAGCCACTGGGACCCAACTCAATGGCGAGTCCAGGAATTCTAACTTCCAGCAGTAAGTGATTTTAGTACGACTGGTATTAGCCAATTTCAACGGCGAGCATTTTTTTCTCACTCCGGATAGGATGGATCCCACTTGTCACATCTTCTTACTAGAACTGTAGGAAACTTCGTTCTCTGGCCAGTCACTAACGAGCATCAGATTACAGCTTAAAGGTGATAGCAGAAAGTTTGGCTAATATCACGCGATAACAGATTTTTTATCAGGACTAGAAGAGTAAATGAAGCAAAGTATTCTCGGACTCTATAGTCTATTGATATAAGTATAAAACTTGGTCACTGTGGTAGAGTATAACTCCATTATGGATAGGATTTTATTTTGATAAATCACACAGTGTGGTACAGTTATATTAACTGACGACGTTTCGAGCACAAACTATTGCTCATAATCATATCGAGTTACTCACACAACTTGTTTCTTCATTTATATACATGTGTGGAATCGATTAGACATTTGAATAAAAATCAATGTGAGATAATGTACATTCAGAAATAATAGTCCGAGTGTTGTTGATCAATTGCAGTTAGATAGGAAAAAAGACGAGTGTTTCTATATTCAAAATAAGTAACTTGCTAGAATGTTATCATGTACGTGAAATGAAATAGAATTTTAAGATTATTTATTATCCTCCTCTGATTTGACTGGTGGTAATAATATCTTCTGTAATTCTAGTGCTTGCATTGAATCATTTCTGTTCCATGTATTGGGTGTAGACTCAATGAACCAAGATTCAGTAATCAACCTCTCTCTCAACCTACCTAGATTACTTCTTAGAATTTTAACCCTCTCCCACCCTATTGTGTGATTGTGTGTTAAAGCATACAGTGCAACTGCTGAGCTTTTTTCTAAATTACTTATCTTCTCGGGGTCAACCATTCTTACCTTAGCTAAATTCTTATATTCCTACAATCTGACTACCCCTGACCTACTAGTTTGACCTATGTACTTGACCTCACAGTCATTGGACGGTCTTTTGTAAATTATATTATTGTGTCTAATTGGGTCCACCGGGTCATTTAGCCTACAGAGCTTGTCCCTGAGTGAGTCTGTAGGTGTGAATGCCACCCTAATTCCTGCCTTATCATGAATCCTACGTAGTGTCTCAGATGTCCCCTCTTTATATGGTATAACTTTGGATGACTTATATTCTTTCTTATTTATGTAATTATTACTAGCTTCACAATTATTTTTATTTTGTTTTTGGCCTTTAATGATCTTCCTAATGAATTTTGTAGGATAGTTATTAAACACCAACGCTTCTTCTATCTGTTTCATTTCATCATTTAGATCTTTTTCTGTGCTACTTAGTGCTATGGCTCGGTTTGTTAGACACCTAACTAAGCCAGCCTTAACAGTTAACGGATGAGATGAATTAAAGTCTAAATATCTACTAGAATGCATTGGCTTTCTATAAAAACTAGTGAGTAGTTTGCCTTCTATTCGTCATCAGTTAATATAACTGTACAGCACTGTGTAATTTATCAAATAAAATCTTATCCATAATGGAGTTATACTCTATAGTCTACTTTTCACTTGAGCAAAGTTAACTAAATTCTGCAACTAATTTACGGATATGCGTCGGAAAATTACTTCTCAAATGAAAATTTTATATACTTGAAAACTTTTATTGTTAAAATAATTTTGAGTTATAAAGTTATATAAACAAAATAATAAAAAATAAATAGAAATACCAAAAATATAATTCAAATAAAATGCACTTTCTTATTCCCTCATTTTTATTTTACAAATATGATCCATATTTAAAGTTGACCATAATGAATGAAGTAATGAAGGTTTATTAAAACCATGAACAGTAATAAACTGTAATTTCTTCAGTATATGCATATCAGGTGGATAATGTGAATATATTTGTTTGTTATGAACTGGACCGACACCGAATTTTAATAGTATAATCCCCAACATAATATCATCATATGGGATAGATTTTACATACAGGAAGCCAGTACGAAGCAATTGGACTACAGGCATACTTAGAATGATTGTACCACCAAATAGATATGGTGGATATATGTTGAATGGATAATCTGATAAGGATATATATCCAGGTAAAAATGGTACACGTACTGGATAGGATACACGACGGAGGTCGCCAGAAGCATAAATTCTGTACTGACTTGGTGTAACACGGTGTAATAGATTTATTAAGTTGACTGGATGTAGAAAATAATCCTCGTCAAGGAGAATAACAAATGATTTACTGTTAGCTGAACAGTATTTCGCTAAAAAGTCCATACTACCTATCCATTTATTCTGTAAATTTGAACAATCATCAAAAAAATCAAATTGAATAATGTCATGATGTGTAGAATGTTCATAATATAATTTAGATAAGACACTATTTGATTGATCGTTCTCATAATATTTATCATTTATGATATTTTCAACTGGGTCGTTATTCCCATAATCATTTTCTCTACCTAAAATAAACAAAATACGAACATAGGCACCGAAGTTTTCGTAGCATTGTTGATTGCCCCATGTTTGACGAATAGCATCCCGTTGATTGAAATGGCTAACATGAGATCTAATAATCAAAAAGAGATCAGCTGTTTGACATGGGGATTGATGGAAAGATGAATTATGGTTGTTTCTATTACATTCACGATTTCTACTAAAACACATATCTTTATAATTCGAAGATAAAGGGAATATTATTCTCCACAATGGAGGTGCACTTGGATTAACTTTTAACTTTTCCTTCTCATGAATTTTATACAAATCCAAATTTGGCGGGAAATGAAATATTTGATAATCTTCTTGTAGGCATAGTGTTATGAACAACCAAATGCAAAAGATGAAGGATATAAAAAGTACTATGGTGCATAATAATCTCGTATGCCTCACATGTAAACAATGAATTACAAACCTGAATAAAAAGCTGATAATGTGAAATTGCATAGCAACTAACGTCGAATCTCTCAATGTTTGTACAACTTAATAGTCAATCAATTTCAATATGCAGTGGAGGAAGATTAGATGTTTCATGAATTAGAAGGTGACACCTAAAGAAAGGCAAAAACAAGACAAAATTCCGATGCATAATTTAATCCCATTTGAAAGATTAATTACAACAAAAACGACGAGATGAATTCTAACTTGATGGCTTTACAACTTTTCATCTCCTTTCAGCACTGATTAGCTTAGTCTTAGTCCATAATATCACATTTCGCCCAGTAGATAACACTGTAGCATTTGCAGCAATGATACTGAGGTCGAGTCTCAGTGAAGAGGCCACCACTTACTCGGAAGCAAGTATATTCAGCCAAAAAGTCTCAAACAAAATGTGACTTACGTCTTGGATTCTATGACAGAATGCCTAACAGACAGGCAGGATATCGGCATTCGATCCCTGGCTTACTCATCATTAAGCATCAACCAGTTTACCAGCCTGGAGTAAGTCAGAAAAAGATGGACGATGGGTGTCAGACTAGTAACACTCCTGCCACTGGGATTTCGAAGCCTAAAGTTTTATTTTTCCTTGGGAATACGAGAAATGAGAAAAAGACTTCATTTGGTATTGGTAAGATAATGACCCACTGCATCGTTGTCTTCATTGATCTATTAGGTTCATTCCAAAAGGCCACTTGTTGAGCTATAAAATTTATCACAAAGAGACTCAGGGAACATGGTTCTATTGAGATTGGTGTCACTTTGTTCATCTTATATAGGACATAAGGATGAAGTTTTACTCAACGTATCACGTTGTTTCAGCAGATCAGGAAATTTGCCAAACATAAAGACATGACTCGCAAAGTCTTAAATCTTTTACATGTGTCTACCTCTCACTCGATGCCAAATTATTTTGGAACTATTCGGTCGAATCTTGATCACAATTAATATGAACTATCCAACCAATCAAACAAAATCCCTACAAAAAAACAACCAATGGTTGAAAAATTGATCTGATGCTCACTAGTTACTGGCCCTATTGACGCAGTGACCTGGGGTTCTAGTGGAAAGCCATGACCAGTAGGGTTCAGCAGGCTGTAGGTGAGCCAGTAACTCATCGAAGAAGATATTGCGAAATAGGCGTGCTGTCATGAATTGGCAAAAGTTATAATTTGTGGGCTTGCCACTGGAACCATAAGGTGCTGGTTTTGAACCCTGGAGGTGGATTCGTATGCCGAAGAGTCCCAAACTAGGATGGAAGAAACAGCTGTCCAGTACTCGCAGGTTTTCTAATTGATATCAACTCGTGATGAAATCTTCCAATTAATATGAATTGTTTTGTACTAGTCATATCCACGAGAGTAGAGACATGCATACATCTTTAAAGTAAAGTGTCATTCCGGAAAAGTTTTGGAATATTTAAAAAGTAATCAAGATACTATAGGACCTAAGTCCCTGATTTCAGATCAGCCAAAAAATTCACTAGTGGAAAGCATGAAAGCATTGCGCAGTAAACAAATATTTAGTGATTAAATTATCTTCTGTTCATCTACTAATAAAATCTAGATAGTACCCTAATTTTAGTGTGAATATTATTCCTTTGACTTCGAAAGCATCAGTCATTCAAAAACTATCATGATTATCACTACCACCAGTTCCTAAATAAGAGAGCGGTAAACTTATCTGTAATTTTTTTCATTATTAGCTAACAGATAATTACAATTCTGCTGCAAATAGAAGTGAATGAATTTAACTTATGTAAACAAAATACTTTCTGTTCAAGTATTCATTTACCTATCTTTGTTTTCCAGTCATTATACATTGAATGTGTTGTTTAAAAACGCATAGTTTATATTTATGTCAAATGTCTGGGAAATGATTCCTGAAACACAGACGTATGTAAAGTCATCATTGAAAAGTTAAAAATGGAATAAATCACATAGATCTGATAAGAAACATTGTTTTAAAAGCAATCAGTTTTAGCCTGATCAAATTCTGCACTCATAACAGATTTGCTTTCAAAAGTCTCAATGTTTAGAAATGAAAACAAAAAACAGTCGAAATCTTGAAGATAGGTTTTGCTAGTTAATTAAATCTAATAAAGAACAAATGAAGTTCAGAGGTCAGTGGTAGCTGTTTAATTCTTGACAGCTAAGAAAGTTATTTAAAACTGAGGCTCTTCGAAGTCACATTGTGTCAATATACAGTTTAAGAACACTAAGCGAATGGTCAGAGAACTTCTCTGTTTATCAACTTTAATGATCTGTACGATTAGCCATTCTAATTTTCCTTCGTAAAATCACTTTCTGACCTGAATGACTGAAAGTATTCAGGCTTATTTATTAGGCTATTAAGACAGTAAGTGAACCGCGCTATATAAACACAATCATTTTAATACAGTTCATTTAACCAGTTTGAAAATAAGGTAAGAGCTGAGTATAACAGTCTGCATAACATGCTGTTCTAAATAACGTCAAACTAATGAAAAGTATCATTTAATAATATGACGGCTTCTAATTTTACAGATTTCACAGGAAAAATTAGTGTGATTTAAAAATTAGACACCTATTTAGATTTTGATGGTGTTAGATGGCTGGAGGCAATCGGTCACAGGAAGCCTTTGACCTAGGTTTCGTGCTAGTTGGCACTCGTCAGCGAGGCGTATCTGTAACCCTGAAGGAACTCATGTCTCTTCTGAGATTTGAACCCGTGTCACCCAGTGGTGCAGTCAGAGACGTTACCACTGAGCTATTCAGGCTCGCGATTGACCTCCTGTAGGACTGTAGTGGACTAGATACATCACACTAGTTACTAGTGTCAAATCAAAATACCTATTTAGCCTGTCTGAAGTCAAGCTTAGAATCGGTTTCCTAGCTTACAAAAGTAGCTTTCATTTTCTTATATTCTAAGTCAGTTCGCCTAAACAAAACGATAACTGTTGGTCAACCTTAGTGACTCACTAATCAGTTTGTCAAACAAGGATCTTCTTTCGCTGAGCATATTAACTGTAGAAATTCAGGGAACTATAATAAATCGGTATAAAAAATTGATATCTGTGTTAAAAAAATAATCTATGAAGACAGCTTAAATACGGAAGAAATGATTTAGTGCTACGTACTAGCTTAAGTGACATTAAAAAATGATGAAAATCTAGTAGCGTTGGTGTTTTTCTATGAGGATGGGTTTGCCTGCCTCATGCCTGATCTGCCCTCTTTACAGGCTTAGAGTGGTTTAGAAGTGCTTTAGCTGGGGATCGAACGTGGATCACGTTCTATCGTTGGACCACTGATGCACCCCCTTTGATTTTTTGTTTTTACCTTTGTGTACTTTATAGACTGTGGTAACTTGAACTGTTAGACTAATGTGCAAGACTCCTCGATGAAAACTCAGGTTGAGTATCCAGAAAGGACATTAAATTGATTGTTCAGCGCAAACCTGTGTATTGGGAAATATAAATATGTCGAAAGAATGAGTTGTGTAAGATTACTTACAAGATACTCAACAAAAGACACTGTCATCATAAGTAGTTTTTCAGTTTAACTGTGCACCTACATCTTAACAGTTTGGTTGGAAAAATGATAATCTTTGGGATATTTTGCTGAATTCTAACCCTTGTTGTCGACCGCACCACGCAAACAGGCAATACGTTGTACAATTTTCATGTGTTTGTAAACACCAACGTTGGATTTTTTTCTCAGCAAAACGGTATTTCACCATGGAAATTCTATTCTACAAACACAAATATGCATTCTGATTTCAACATATAAGTAACCATGTAATTGTTTAGAGCAGAGTTTAAGTGATATCCATCTCGTTGCAGAACAAATAAACGAGGTATTGAATTTCAGAATTTTTTTCTTCGCTAAATCATACTTTTTTTAAGCGTTAAATAATTAAATCAAGTGAAACTTCTTTTCTAAGCGTTTAATTTTATCATAAAGAGAATTAACGGTCGTAAAAGTAGTTTTCATAAGGCATTATTGTTATTATTGCTGATTTAAAAAAAAACTTACTAGAGTGATAAAATCACCTGACTGCTGTTCACCTCGTTTAGATTGTGTCCGCCAGAGACCTGGGGATTGACTTGTTAAATTGGAATATGCACAGGATATAGTCCTTCTACGTGAAGACGCTGATAAAATGTAAAGTCATCTAAACACACCTTGAAAAGAAATCTGCTAATGTTTATCAGGCAATGCGCTCCTGTCAAGTGTAAGATGATGTTACAGGACTGAACTACATTGACTCCTAGGTTAAAGTTTAGGGAGTGAAGTGACTAATGGAGCGTGTTGACCACTTCATTTATTTCAGTAAATTGCATCAGCCAGAACGGACTAAAAACTAACGATACCTCATCACAGATACAGAAAGCTCGTGTGAGATTTGCCAACCTGTATCATATCTGACCTATACGTGATATCTCGCTACCGATCAAAAGGCGTGTGTACTGCTCAGCAGTTCTCTCCGTCCTCTTTTAGAGCTTTAATACATAGTCGTAGAAAGTGGGAGACATGAAAAGTCTGACTAGTTGTCTTTGATCATAGGCGTCTGCGTTCTATCTCCCATGTTAAGTGGTATAATCGGGTGATTAATACCGAGGTAAGGAGGTTAAGTCGATCAATGAGGTTGTGAAGTACCATCGATTGAGGTTCTAGGACATTTGTTAATCAGACCTAGTCATCGCCTTCCTCGTTGGGCAATGTTATTTATCTGATATAGGATCAAATTATGGAAGAGTTAGTGGTAGTCAAACAAAAACATAGCATCAGTCCGGGCATATATCCAATAAAACTCCGTAGTTTTTCCATGTAACTATTCTTCCTCCATCATATTTCTGCTCATTATCGTCTTTTTTAATCTCTTTTGTCTTTCTTTGTATGTAGTACATAAAATATGGCAACTTGAAATGCTGTACTTCTGTGCAAAGTTCCATGTTTGTTGAAACTAGTCATCATCCATCAGTTTATCTGATTCTGTTCATTTCATTGATAAGAAATAAACAGAATACTGGGGATGCAAAGACTGCTTTAATGCAATATGAGAAACCTGAGTAATAAATATTTGTAAGACTGAGATTATTGAACTGTGCGTCGGTAGCACAGCGGTTAGGACT